TTGCAATTACCTTAAAGTTGAGATTAAATGCAAAAAGCTTAAAGGTCGTAGTTTTATTTGCAATCTATTGTTAAAAGCATCGAAATACTTAATTTACTAATTCTTATCCCCCTATATATTAATACAGAACGCGCTGAGCCTACGTGGCTGTTTCTGGTGCTTCGGAATCCTATGTGGCAAAATTACATGCTTCGTTATTAGGCTTGGGTAAATTTTAATTTAATTCCAAACCAAAAATAATTAGGTTCGGATTACCATAAATATGTTGATTATTTATGGTCATGTTACATGTATTAATTTTATTTTAATATCATTCCTTATTATAACTATTGAATTATATATATATTTTAAAAGTTAATAACTTTTGTATTTTTTATCAGTTTTACATATGTAATATATCAAATTAATCTTCTTTTGATGAGTTTCGATTTAACATCCATATTGTATGTATAACAAAAAAAAATTATATTTATCATTATATCAATAATAAAATTATTTTTAATATTAATTAAAAAATAAAATTATTTATCAACTAATAAATTTATATTTCAAGTAGTTATATGATATAAATTATAAAAACTAATACATGTGTTTGAACTGTATATATATTTTAAAAGTTAATAACTTTTGTATTTTCTATCAGTTTTACATATGTAATATATCAAATTAATCTTCTTTTGATGAGCTTCGATTTAACATCCATATTGTATGTATAAAAAAAAATATATTTATATTTATAACAATAATAAAATTATTTTTAATATTAATTAGAAAAATAAAATTATTTATCAACTAATAAATTTATATTTCAAGTAGTTATATGATATAAATTATAAAAACTAATACAATATAACACATGTAAGTCATAAGTAACACATCATTCTAAAATATATAGTAATATATTTTTTTTGTAAAAAAATAAACTAAATTTATAGTTTTCTCATTAATTTTAAAATTTAAGAATAATTTTTTAACAAGCACCCGTGTAATACACGGGTGTTGTACTAGTAATTAATGAAATCAACAAATAAAAAAAGGCTAGATTGCTAGGGAGTTTTTCATAGTTTTTTTTTTTATTATTATTTTTTTATTTTTTATTATATATATATCCAAATGAATCAAATTGTAATTATTGAAGATAAAAGTAGGAAAGTATACTTCATTATTCGCCACTTGAGATTCATGAAATCTTGATTGTTTGAACACTCAAACAAAAGAAAAATCTCAATAAATTCGTTACATACGAGTCTAAAGGACATTTTGTCATTGTCAATGTTACCAAAATTTCTTGAGTTCTCCATTTATAATATGTTATTATCGTTTGGGGGGAAAAAAAAAAAAAAAAATGTTACCAAAATTTGACCCTTATTTTATACAAATAAAATGAGAGAAGGAGAAAGAATAATAAATGGGACCAGAAAAGCTTTACCGTTGTGAAGCCAGAAAATGACAAAAGGCATATTAATTAATAAATGGAGATAACGTTTTACATTTTACAAGTGATATCTTGTTTTAGTAAAAAGATAACTTTTTTTATTGAAATAAATACACTCTTAATGATATGTAGACATATTTATAAAAATATTATACAGAAAATGCTACCGTCTCATTACGGAACCATTCTGTTTGGATTTATAATCGTTAGATCAACTATCCCCAACGATTACATGATGATTTAATCGTTACAAACTCCAACAGAATGATTCCGTAACGGGACTGTAAAATCTCTCAATATTATAAGCTATAAAACATGTAATTTATATTAATTTCAACTTGACCAATAACTCTTAATGATATGTACAACATTGAAACATAGAAAAGCATCCACGCTTTGGGTTTAATCACAAAAAATTATATGCCACCTAAAAAGTAGACTTAGTATAAAAAAATTATATGCCACCTAAAAAATAGACTTAGTATAAAAAAACTGTATTCTCCAATGCAAACCAAAGTAGACTTAGTCCCTTCACATTGGAATGAATTTTATTAATTTTACATAATTTTTTCCATGTCATTCGAGATTTGAGTTTATTCACATGCCATATATATAGACTAAAATAGACCGAACCCATTGTAGATGTTGTAACAGAATAAAACAAGGATAATGAAAGAGAGAAAAAAAAAATCAGTTTCCCTTGACCAATATAACTCCTCTCTGGCACTTTATGCTTCTGTTTATAATTTATGCTAATATTCAGTTTTCACCACAACTTTTTTTTTT